TCTTTCATACAGCCTGGTCCAATATCAAGGATGTGAAGACTCTGTCCTCTTTGTGCAGACACCAGAGCTATCAACATAATCAGCTTGTGGGTCAACATTTTGAGGTCAAGGCCATCCACAGGGCTTTTGGAAGCCAGATAATTTAACACTGGTTGAACGTCCCAAGTCGAGTGGTACCGTGGAACGGGTGGTGAGCCTTTGTATATGCCTTTCATAAATCTGGAAACAAGTGGGTGGCAACCAATAGTATTCTGATCTTCAGAAAGGGTAATTGCTGATATGGCACTACGAGCAGTGATAATGGTAGTGTACCTCAAGCTCTTCTCATGGAGGCTGACCAAGAAATCCAATACTGAGGTTAAGGGTGGGTTATAGGGATCAGCCTGTCGTTCACGACAAAAGTCAATCCACTGTTTGAGGTTGTGTCTGTCAGAAAGGGACTAAAATTACACCAGTAGCTTGATCCTGTTCTATTTTTTGCAGAAAAGTTGCTATCAGGCTGAAAGGTGGAAAAGCATAAAAATAATGTTCTTTCCATTGCATGAATAATGTATTTACACATTTTGCAGTAGGGTCTGGTTTCCAAGACACATACGTAGGTATTTTAAAATTAAGTTCGGAAGCAAAAAGATCTATTTCAAAAGGGCCCCACATTTCATTAATGTGATCAAACACATCTGGATGTAGAGACCATTCAGTGGAGGTGTGGAATACTCTAGATTCAGAGTCAGCTACTACATTGATGGAGCCTGGTATGTGGCAGGTACTGAGCCAAAGTTCCCGTTCAATACACCACAACCAAATTTGCCGGGCCATGTTGTTGCAATTTGCAGATTGGATACCTCCCATTGCATTGATATAAGCTACTGTAGTAGTGTTATCAGATTGAATCCTAATGTGCGTCTGTCTCACGTGATGACACAGAGACTTGAGACCTAACCAAACTAATTTAGGCTCCAGGTAGTTAATATGAAACCCTTGCTCCTCCAAACTTCAAGGGCCACCAGTTTTCTGTTCCCCATACACTGCCCCCCAGCCCTTAGTTGAGGCATCTGTTGTCAGGGTCATGTCAGGGTTAGGCTGAACAATGTTCTTAAAAGAAGAGTCCACATTATTTATCCACCAAGACAAATCTACTTTGGCATCCTTGGACAAATATAATGGCTCATCATAATTACCCTTGCTAGCCTGCAGTGCAAGGACCTTATTCTTTTCTAGATTCCTGTAATACAATTCTCCAAATTGCACTGCAGGTAGACTTGAGACTATCAAAGCCAATAACGTGGGCAGTTTCTCTGATGGTCACCTCAGTTTTGAGTAGTAAATTCTGACAGGCTATACGTACGCGTGCAGCTTTGGTAGGGGAAAGTCTAATTGTCATAAGAATACTGCTAAGTAAGAACCCAAGAAATTCTATTTCTTTTGTGGGAATATAAACTGATTTCAAAGGATGAATTACGAATCCCAGGTTTTGAAATGCGTCAATCGTGTCCTGCACATTCCTCTTACAAGCAGCATAGTCCTATCCTAATAAGAAAGAGTCATCTATGTGCCCCATGCAAAGATGGCCCATTGATCTGATATGAGAGTAAACAGGTTTTAAAATTTTTGTGAACAGCCTGAGGGCACAAGCGAGGCCATTGGGTAGGCATGTGTATTCATAATAACTCCCTTGCCACTCAAATTTTAAATATTTCCTGTCCTCTTTAGCAACAGGGACAGAATAGTATGCGTCCTTAAGGTCAACTGAAGCCATAAAGCACCCCGAACGCATGAGTTTAAGAGCTGTTTGAATAGTGTCCATTTTGGTATGGTGGTACGAGACAAATTCATTAAGAGGTTTGAGATTTAAAATCATTCTGTAGCTGCCATCTTTTTT